CCATGATTGATCTCCCAAGGCTTACACTAAAGGGGAGAAACATTGTCAGGCAACAAACAGTCATAAACATAAATAATTATGACATATAAAATGACCTAATGGGGAGAACAAGGAACTTTGACAAAGAACACAGTGCTACCTACTTACACGTGGTATCAAGGAAGAGCTCTGCAATGGAGTAAGTTCATCTGTTGAGTGGTATTGGGAGGTAAGACCTTTTGTTAGGTAACTCGTTCTTGAGGGTAGAGGCCTCGTGAATGGCATTACTACCTTATGAAAAGCACCCCCTGGGATCTTTTGCTTTCTTTTCTCTGAAAGAGGATGCAAGAAGAAGGCAGCAGTCTGCAACTTGGAAGATGGCCCTCATCAGAATTGGACCATGCTGGCATCCAGATCTTGGACTTCCCATCCTCTAGAATTCTTAAAAGAATTCTGTTGTTTATAAGCAACCCAGTCCAGGGTATTTTGTTACACAGCCTGAACTGACTAAGACAAGCTCTGAGAGGATGATAATTGAGAAGAAACCTAACTATAAGAAGTAGCTAGTCGTTTAAAGAGATTTACAATATAACAATAAATTATGCAAGGATCTACAGGTAAGGGATATCTTGGGATGCGCCTTGGAAACTGAAATAAAATTCCTGGGACAACTGTGTAGATCTGGAGAAACAGGCAGGGGCCAGACTTACAAGTTTCTCAGTCCAAGACAAAGCATTTAGATTTTTTTCTAAGTGCAATGGAAACCACTGGAGAGTTTTAATCTGGAAAATGACATTATCTAGATTTCATTTTAAAAGATCACTCCATCAAATCACAGGTAGATTGGAGGGAGAAATAAAAACAACCATGGAGTGGTCAAAGATAAGAAATCATGGCACCTTAGTCTAAGCTATTGTCAACAGAAAGGGAGATAAATGGATGGATTTAAAATATGTTTTGTGAATAAAATCAATAAGACTAGCAAAGAACTAGAGGCAGAGAGTGCAGGAGAGCAGGAATCAGTGAGAACCTACTCTAGTTTTCCCAATTAGAAGCTCATTTTCTGAGTTGCAAAAAAAAAAAAAAAGGGAAAAATGGTTTTATGGTGAATACAAGTTTGATGCATTATATCTGAGATGACTGTGATACATTCAATGGACATGTCAAATGAACTCCAGAAAATGTAGACTGGAAATGTAAAGTCCGTTGTTGTTAACTCTCCTAATAAGAGCAGACAAAGATAAGAACATAGATGAATCCCAGAAAGATTTGTCGAGGTCAGGGGAGTGACCAAAGAAAGACTTTAGGAAGGCCGATCCAATGAAGAGGAAAATTAGGAAAGAGCAATGTGGGAAGTCAAGAGAGGAGAGCATTTCAAGAAGAACCAAATATTGATATTCTGAATACTTTTTTAGAGACTGAATAAGAACAGAAAAGTAATGAGTTTGGCATCAGGGAGATCATTGGCAACATTGAGAAAAGCAATTTCAGCAAGTACATAGAGAAGAAATGAGATCAGAACAGGTTAAAATGACTAGAAGATGACATACTAAAAATAATTTTTATGGATGATACTTTCTGGAAGCTTGGCAGTGAACAGCAAACGGAGAATCAGAGCAGCAGTAAAGTCACAGGCGGTAGTTAAGGCACACTCTTGTTTGTTTGTTTTTTAAGATGGAAACTATTAGAGCATGCTTTTGCTGACAGAAATAGTCTAGACCTGGTGGGAGGTGGGGTGGTTGAAAACACAGGAAAGGAAAGAATATCAAGTCCTTGATAAGAAGATGGGGGAAGAGATCCAAGATCTTATGAAGGGTCTAGATACAGAGAAGAGGAGCAACACAACTAATAAAAATAAAACAAAACTAGGATCAGAAAAATCATACATACAATGAAAGTTATCTCTTATCCAACTAGCCATTCTGTAAAGAGACGAATTGAGGGACAGGGAGTAAAAGGTAGTTATATATATGTTGTATTCTTTAGAACAAAATCCTGTGCTTTCAATTTTCCTAAATAAAACAACTACTTCATTTGAGCTATCATTGAGCCATCTTCTGGCCAATACCGTAGTACACCACGGTGGGCACTGAGGACACCCACAATGCTATCATTTTTCTCACACTTCCCTCATCCATTGCTGCCATATTGGACAGACACCAAATGGGGAAGGCAACTGACTTTAGAAGAACTATTTTTCCTCTCTCCATAACCTCCAAATCCAATCTTTTCCCATATTTTCTTTTAATCCCCTTGCATTCATCAATAACACTGAGATCACTCTTTTTCACAGTGTCTTTTTTTTAAAAAAAAAAACAGGCTCTCATATTTTATGCAGGCTGACATCAAACTCTTGGATCCATGGGATTGTCCTGCCTCAGCCTCCCAAGTAGCTGGGACTATAGTCATGCACAATCTCTTCTCTTTTTATTAACTGTTTTTAAAATTTGTGATTTTCTTTGTGCTCAGACATCTTCTATTCCTTTTCTACACATCAATCTGTCATCATAGCTTTTATTATTATCTACATATGCCAATGTCTCATAAACCTTACCTCCTGTCCATTCTTCTTTCTAACTTCAAACTCATATATTGCTGTTGAATATCTCCAACTGAGGGCCATCTCAAATACGAAAGTTCTATAATTAAATTCATCACCTCCCCTCTCTATTACCAAATCAACTCCTTTTCTGGCATTAATCAGTTTTGCAAGGTAGAGGTCTGGTTTATTCAGTCCCCCACCCCCACTCCCAACTCATGTCCAAAATCCAATCAATAACCATATTCTGTCAATTTGTTTAATTCAGTCTAATGTCTACCACCAACATTACTCTTGGTTCAGGTCACCTCTCTTATTAACAAAATAGAATTAAAATCAATCAACAGACAAATACCATCTATTTCTTTCTTGCCTTTTCAACTGTGATGCCCCCCACTCTCTGGCTCAAATCAGTATGAACGTGGTTTCCCAACTATTTCTTGCCTCTATGGCTAGAAGAGCTTCTTAAATTTCTTTAATTGTTTCTGTGCCTCTAATACTACTCCAGGACTGTGTGGTATTCCCTCCACACAGCAGTCAGATATAATATAATATAATATAATATAATATAATATAATATAATATAATATAATATAATATAAACAGTTCAATGTCCTCCCAACTTCCCTCATGAAAAAACACTCCGAGTACAACCTGGCTCCCAGGAATCTGCATGGTCTAGCTCTTGCCTGCCTCACAGGCCACATATCTTACTCGGCTCCCTCAATACAATTTGTATGCTGCTGTGCTTTCTGTCTAGAAGGCTCTCGCTCTCCTCGTAACCACCCCCTGCACACCTTTTTAAGTTAGATAACTCCTGCACATGTCAGTTTAGTGCCCACCTCTTTCAGGAAGCCATTTATTTAACCCCTTTCCAGTCTCTCCCATTCATGACTACACAGAGCTGGTATAAGGAGTACACTAGCTGGGAAGGTTTCCAAGGGCTAAATCTATAAGTGGAACTGAAATTCATATCACTGGGAACCTAAATGAAGTAAAGAAAATATTCTACCTAAAATTCTTATTTTGCAGACTTTCTTTCAGGAGAGTACCACATGAGATTGTAGTGTTTGGGACACAATGGGTAACATGCTAAGAAGGATGGTTTCTGTTAATGGTAGGCTGTAGGTTTGCTGACTGGGGAGTGCAATTTTGACTTATTTATTGACTTAACAGATGAAAACACTGTGATTTAGAGAGAGATGCCAAAGGTCAAACCATATCGAGACTGGCTTTGAAAGCAGATAGTCCAATTCCAATTCCAGCATTCACGTGGTGTTATGGTTTAGATGTGAGGTGTCCTCCCAAAACTAACGTATGAGACGATGCAAGAACATTCGAAAGTGAAATGACTGGATTCTGAAAGCCTTAACCCAGTCAATGAATTAATCCCCTGACGGAATAATTCAGTGGTAATTGCAGGCAGGTAGAATGTGGCTGGAGGAGGGGGGTTTCTGGGGGCATGCCTTTGGGGTATATATTTAGTGACCTGATCTTAGAGTCTCTCTCTCTCTCTCTCTCTCTCTCTCTCTCTCTCTCTCTCTCTCTCACACACACACACATACACACACATTCTCACACATACACACACATTCTCTCTCTCTCTCTCTCTCTCTCTCTCTCTCTCTCTCTCTCTCTCCTTCCTGATCATCATGTGAGTTTCTCTCTCTCTCTCACACACACACACAAACACATTCATTCTCTCTCTCTCTCTCTCTCTCTCTCTCTCTCTCTCTCTCTCTCTCTCTCTCTCTCTCTTTCTCTTCTACCATGATATTCTGCCTCACCTCAAGCCCTGAGGAATGAATAGAGCCAGCTATGTGGACTGAGACCTTTGAAATAAACTTTTCCTCCTTGCTATTGTTCTCGTCAGGTCTTTTAGTTACAGTAGCAAAAAAAAAAAGCTGGCTAAAACACAAGAATAATCAGTAACTATGCTGCCCCCTGAATAGCTTAATGCCCCCCCACTCAAAATTAACAAAATAGAATTAAAATCAATCAACAGACAATAGCATCTATTTCTTTCTTGCCTCTTCAACTGTGATGGCCCCCACTCTCTGGCTCAAATCAGTATGACTGTGGTTTCCCAACATATCTAAAGTGCAGTGTCCAAATGTTGAAGAGTCTTATAAGATTTTATTGATTGCATATATTAGTGGATTAATAAATAACTGATTTAGAATACTTAGGGAAATTATTTTTCAATCCCAGGTGAATATCTAGGAGTCCAGTGATTCCAAGGTGGGATCTGAAATGGAGCCTCAAATTACTCACTTCTTGCCAGTCATGGTGGTGCCTCCTTAGACTCAGGAAGCTAAGGCAGGAGGATCCAGAGTTCAAAGCCAGCCTTAGCAATTTAGCAAGGCCCTAAGCAACTTAGCAAGACCCAGTCTCTAAATAAAACATAAAAGGGGCTGGAAATGTGGCTCAGTATTTAAGCACCCCTGAGTTCAATCCCTGGTACAAAAAAAAAATTACTCACTTCTCTTGGTGATCTTGAGCCTCCCTCTCGAAACGTTGGCTTACATCTGAAATTAATCTGCCATTTAAAAAGAAAAGCATTTACATTAGGAATAGTATCAGACTAAATTGAATTACCTAAAAACATCCAACAATGACAGATACTGAGGCTACAGGGAAAAAAAAACTAAAGAATAAGGAAGAAAGTTTACTGCTATTCTCAGTGCTTTGAAATCATCACATTAGATAATCTACAGACACATCAACTGATTCTCTATCTCCACTTTCCATCCCCTCCTTCTCACTAATGAAATCACAGCATCTTTCAACAATAAGGCTCTCAAACAGAAAATCAGAAATAGATAAGAAAGAGTCAGAGGAAAACTACAGAGAAGTTAAACCACCCAGCTGGGTTTTAAAATTTAAAAGTAGAAAATATAAACTTGAGGAATTGAAAATGTTCTGTAAGGATTATTCCAACAATAGAAATGAATATTCTTTATAGAAGGATTCAGCAGCCCCTTCCTTTAAGTGGGAAGGTCTCCCACTTGGTACACTTGTATCATCTTCAACTACAGTAGGACATGAAAGTGTAAGAATGAAGGAGATGAATAAATGGAGTTGGGATGGGAAAGAACATATTAAGATCAAACGTCAGTGGTCATTGCCACACCATCTTGTTCACCAGTAATTGTAATATGTCAGTGAAATTAAGTGAATGCTGCATAGAACTAAAATATCTCAATGCATTTTCACATGTCAGCTTGAAAACATAGATAATGCACTTGGAAATGGAGAGGGATGCTTGAAAGTGAACAGCAGAAAATCACTATTGGGTCCTTCCCTTTCTCCCAAATGTCAAATAAATGCACTATGCAGAATTTTCTTCTTTGGAGATAACACACCCTCGGGCTGCCACTTCCAGCCCCAGCCACTCATTTACCCTGCACGAGCAAAAGCACTGACCAAGAAGCCCAGAGAAAAGACTGAGCACTGGCTCCAGAGACCATTATTCATCCTAAGAGGTAACATAAAATTATTGAATTGACACTTAGCAAACAACAGAGTGAATTACGCTTAAAATTCTTTTTACTACTAATATGTTAATTATGTTGGAATTCCTGTTTTTTAAAGGGCATTTTTTCCAAAAAGTTGGAAATGGAAACTGACACCCGGTCTTTGAAGACCAAACACCTACAATAAAGGAGGGCGGCAGCAGGTGGCGCTCTCTTACCTTTTCTAGCTGTTCGATGCAGGCGGTGTGGACCACGATTTTACAGACTGCACACTTCCTCCTGAGAGCCGATTTCTACAACATTCAATTCAAAATACAGGAAAGAAATGTTAACAGTCTGTGTGAAGACTTCCCTGGTATAAGGACTGTATATGTACACAAATGAAACACTGCCATTCTTTCATACCAAGTGAATTTGAAACTTCATCAAAATATTAAACAACATGACAAACTTAACGGTCTTGTCTCACCAAGTAGTTCCACGTCTGCGTGATGACAGTGGCCTGGCCGGTCTCTCCCAAGTATAATAATAATATATCATATGGAGCATATGATATGAATTGGGCACTTTATTCCATTACACTACTTCTAAGTTTGAGACCTAGCAATATAGGCATTATTTTATCCCTTTAAAAAAAATTGTCACATTTTCATTTGAGCAATTAATCTTTCTCATCTATTTCTGATTTTCTGTTTGAGAGCCTTACTTAGTTCTGCATTCAAATCAAGCATTCGTTTCCTACTGCCAGAAAGTCTATATTTCTAGGGGACAATCACCTTAGGCTTCAGTTCCAGGTATAAATCTATACTAAGCTACTTGGATTTCTGCTCTTAACTTCAGGAGAGAGAACACAGCTCTAGTTTTTAAACCCAAGAAATAATAATAATGATAACAACCACAACAGCAAACTCAGCAAGGGCAGTTAATACAACACAGGGCTTGCCGCATGCCCTTATCAGTACTTCACAAACAGCAACTCCCTTAACCCCCACAGCTCTATGAAATAGATACTATTCTTCCCAGGTTACAGATGAGAAGAGTGAGGCCTGGGAAGGGACCTGCCCAAGGTCATCTAATTAGGGGATAGCAGAGTCAGACTGTCTGACTCCTAAGCATTACTCAATTTGGCCTCTGTGACAATTGGTAGTGTTTAAATTCACAATAAAAAGCTTTTTAAGGTTTATCTTTTCTTTAATAATAAAGAGCTGTGGGGAGAGATGAACAGGGGCTCTACATTTCATCACTACCAGGGTCCTGTAGCATTTAAGCTGAGAATGCTGAGATCTCTGCAAGGACATCTGAGTCCATACTTTTGAGTTTGTGCACTAGAAGAAACTTCTTAGAAATAACCTGTCTGCCAACAGTCCATCAAAGCCACCAAGTGTGAAAGGCGGTCCCTTTCCTTTCAGAAGGCACCAGTATAGACTATGAGCAACTCCCCCAACACCCCGTCTGATGAGTGGCTGCCTCTGCTGGGGTGTCATACTGGAGGCGACTTTGGCAGTGGGGTAGGAAGGAGCCCAATACTGGTACTGCCCAAGGAGACTGGAGGGACTGCAGATAGCCACCTTGGAAGGGGCAGCAAAAGGAAAGAAACTGCCCCCTCCTGGTTCCTTGATGGTTCCAATTATTCAACATGGGGGTGTGGGGGTGGGCTCCTGTTGGTACCAGTGATGACAGTGTTATCAGCTCAGCTATCAAAGAAACAACTAAAACACTGTTTTACCACCACAACAAAAACTCTGGAATGTATTCACTGACTGAAGTTAATTGACCCTGTTGGTGGATGCTTTGATCACTCTTTCCTGTTCCTAAAGAGAGAACATTGTCTTCATTGTTGAATGAATTTGACAATCAATTGATTCTACAAGTAACAAAGGAAAAGGGAAACTAAAACAACTAGAAACACTACTGAAAACTGTCTTGCTCTACTCCTAAACACAGCAGAAGAGAAGCAGGAGGAGAAGGTGGGGGGAAAGTGGGAGAGGAGGAGGAAGAGGAGGACCCACACTACAAGAGAATGCGAAGCACCAGTCACAGCAGTAACAGAAGCAGCAGCAACAACAGTAATAAAATTTGACCTTGTAAATTTTCATGAGAGGAATGGCCGCAGACAAGTGCCTGGGCTCTCCTGTTTCCTGCACATATCCTGGTGGGATTTGCTTTAGCGCCACCTGTGGGATTTGCTTTAGCGCCACCTGCAGAAAACCCTTGGGGCATTTGAGTCCTGCAAACAGAGTTACAGAGATGCCAGGGAAACTGGAGTTGGTTCTAGGCAGCTTCTTGTCATCCACAAGACCTCTAGATAACACTGCACACAAGCAAAGCAGGCCACTGCAGGTGGGCTACCCCTTAGGGGAGATGATTTAAGGTGTCTGAAAAGCCTCCTTTCTTGTCCATACCCCAAACCTGGGTCTAGCTTTGTGCCTGATATCAAGCTCTGCATTAAGCTCTTTGGAGCTCCAGGGCTTCTGGAGGCGTCTTAGGAGTCATTGAGGAGGATGGGAAAAGAAATACAGTGGGCTCAGGAAGCCTGTGAACTCAATAAACCCAGAACACCTCTTCCTTTCTTTGTTTTCCACATCAGGATTCGGGGGTCAAAATCCCTATTAGATAAGGGATCTGGGATACTGGAGTTTAAGAGCCACTGCCTCAAGATATGTCATCACTCAGCTTTCTGGGATGACATGTAAATAACGTCATTCATCGTGAACAATTCAAGAGCAACTATCTATGGCTGACAACATAGGAAATAAAGTGCTGTCTGTGATAAAACTAATTTTAATTAAATAATATTGAATTCTGAAAGACCATCTTAAAATATATCACACGCTTCTGTGCCTCCTGAGACAGCAAATATTGACCATAATCTGAATTCTTCTTCAAAGTCCAGTCATTTTTCTTTCCTCTCCTACGATCTGACAAAAGACCCTTTCAAATCATTGTTCCTGTCTTTGTTGCCCAGGATTTCCTAAATGACAGCTACTAAGCAGCTTGTGATCTGAAAATCAGATAATTAAAGTTTATAAACACATACAAAATTAAGTGAATAAATTCTGAGTGAAGGCCCAAGTTTTTTTCCCACACTAGTAAAGAACGAGGATTATAGTTCCTCAACTGACGACAATTACTTCAATGGATCCAAAGGCAACTGCTGACATTTTTTTTTGATTGTTTCAATTGGCTAAGGCTATCTGAAGTGGCTAGATAATAAGCTTTTGAGCAGAACTTGCTCCAAACATGTAGAATTTTGTGCTTGGTTATGTTACAATTTTTGTTTTGAAAATTTTATCTAAATACAGGAAATACAACATGAAGCATACTCTATTCTAAATACTTTCACTAATTCACTTTTTTCCTAAATAACTCTTACTTAAGCCAGCTCGTCCTTCACTATGAAAGGTGATGAATTAAATCAAGTCATTAACAAATCATCCAATAGGTTAGTCTTCATATTGGGACACAGTTGTTACAGAACCTAGCACAAAAACATAACTGAAAACAGAAACATTATCTGGGACACTGAGTCCATGTTCAAAAATTAAAATTGTAAAAATGTATTAATTTGTTCTCATCAGTGAATTTAAAGGTCATTTGGGCTTTCTACTTTAAATTTCAAATAGAGTAACCTCAGTGCCCTTAATAAGGGTTTCCTGATTTGATCAGTGTTGGTATTCAAAATAAACCCATTAATCACTCTGTGTGTGTGTGCGCATGTGTGTATGCTTTTATAGCATATTTGTAGAAACTAAGAATAGATCACATCCCATCTGTTATGGTTTGGATATAAGGTGTCTCTCAAAAGCCTCTGTGTTAATACAGAAATGTTAAGAAGTAAAGTGATTGGATTGTGAAAGCTGTAACCTAATCTGCCCATCCTAGTTTGAATGGACCCTTGACTAGGTGTTAACTGTGGGTTGGTAGGGTGTGGCTGGAGGGGGTGGGTCAGGGGGAGTATGCCCTGAAAAGCTTGTTCTTCCTGGTGCCCTTTCCTTTCCTCTCTGTCTCTGCTTTCTGGCTGTCATGAAGTGAGTCATTTTCCTCCAACATGCCCTTCTGCCATGATGTTCTGCCTCATCTTGGGCTTAGAGCCACATACTTGGCCAGCCATGGATTAAACCTCTGGAAACAAAAGCCAAAATAAACTTCTCCTCCTCTAAGTTGTTCTTGTAGGCTATTTTGGTCACAGCGATGAAAACCATCACATCTCACTTTTATCTACTAAAATCATGATGGGCCTTTACTTAAATAATTACATGAAAGGGGCTGGGAGATAGCTCAGTGACAGAGCCCTTGCCTAGTGGTGCCTAGCCCCCCAGCAATCCCCGAAATAACCATAATAACAAGATGGTATGCTATGTTTGAGCATGGCAGGCCTGGTCTCGCGGCCATACCACGGCTAGAAGAGGAAACACACTTAAAGTTCTGGCTTGGCCCTTTATCATTTTCCAAACTACAGGAATGGCTGGCCTTCCAAGCAGGGGCAGCTCCTCACCAAACTGCTGCTCCTATCAAGCAAGGAAGCAAAATTGCCATCGCTTTAGAGCCCTGGAGCTGGGGATATCAGTTCCAAGGACAGAAAGATGAGAGGCAATCAGTGGTCACAGGACAGGGTTTCATATCTCTCCCAACCATAAACTCTGGCTATAAGACAGCAATCTTTAATTCCCTTGAGCAAGAGAGATGATTTCTGCTAAGTTATAATGAATTTCTGGTGGAAGTAGAATCTGATAGAATCTGATAAAGGAAGGTGAGGAAAGGAGAAAGGGAAGGAGGAGAAAAAGAAGGAGGGGGAAATAAAAATGGAAAGAAAGGAGAGGAAAGAAGAGAAATGGGAGGAGGGGGGAATGGCAGGATGGGTTGAGAGGGACGGGAAGGACATGAGGACTTCAGGGACTGTGGTAAGTTGCTTTCATAGGTCTGTGGTTATGAAAGGATCCTGCCTTCTTGCATCCAAGGGTAACTGGAATTCAATGTTTATTGGCCCCAACAGTCTGCTGTTTGACCCCAAGAAGCAGGTAAGATAAGGTTAGCTATTCCCTTCCCAACAAGGTACACACCAAACTTTTCCTCTCCTTTAACAGAGGGCAGATTATCTTACCTGCTGACCATATATCTCCTGCTGTAGCCTTAAGAACACCCCTCACCCAACCACCAGGTTTAACCACCAGAAATCAGGAGTCTATGTGGCCACCCATTGATTTCCCTGGCTCAGGAGGGTGCAGAGGCCAGAACTCGCTCCTGCCTCCCAAAATAACAGGGTTAAGTTTGGACTCACAGCTTATCACTTTAG